TTGTCCTGTCACAGTACAAGAGAAAAATTGAAGAGAAAGTTGACAGGCTTCTGAACCATTGCAGGAAAAGCAAATGCAAACTAAATAATGATGAACAGGAGAAAGAATTTGAAACCATGTGGAGAGAAACACTGTCAGAATTATCACTCATTCCTTTACAGAAACGCATCATATATAAAGAAATGGAGTTCCATTTGAGAAGAGACCTAGAGAATAGGGGGAGTGCAGTATGGCGGATGTTACAGGATGCCAAAAGCTTGCCTACTTATAAAACACAAAATTTCAAAATGAAAAATGAATACTTAGACTTAAAAGTGTTCAAAGGTTTCAACCTATCAATGTCAGCTGTGAAAGAACACTTTACACAGGAATGCTGGCATAAAACAGAAGTTCTAGCTAAATCCTTAATATATGAGTGCAATAGCTACACTGAAGAAAAGGCAAATGGCAAAGCAGATTATGATGAAATTTATTGCAGAGAGTTGTTGCGAATGATTAATGAGCAGCTTCAGCAGGCTAATGTTCAAAACCTTCACATCAGAGCTTGCTTTGAAGTTGACCTGAAGCTTCACATTTTGGGGGATGCAGCTCGTGCATTTCAGAAGATGCATGAAGAATTCATTAAAGAAAATGATCCTCTGCAACGTCTGGGGAAACTGAAACCTCAGTATCTCTCCACGTTCAAAGCTCTGTACTTAGAGAAGGATGAATGTCAAGACAGGGCCTGGAATTTCTGTGATCGGTGTCTCAGACCTGCCCTGGTGGATTATGTGAACAAGAGACTTGGGACAGAAATCGTGGATGACATTCTCAGCAGTGAACAGTGTGCTGAATACAGCACCCGGAGATTTTTCCAATTCTTTGTTCTGAAGAAGCTTTTGGAAGAAAATGAATTTAACAGTTATTTGCTATACACAAGGAATTATGTAGATTTTATCGAAATCCAGATACAGAAACATGTGTTAACACGCTACAGAGAGAAGGCAAGTCTGGGAGATTTGGAGAAAAGAATGTTCTCCCCAATAATTAATAAACTCAGTGATGTTCTGAAAAACTCCAAAGGTGAGAAGACTAAGACAGTCTCTGCCTTTTTAGACAACTTTTGTGAGAAGCTGCAGAAGGATCTAGTCATTCCCAAGGACAGCTTAGAAATGATACTGTTTAAAAACACAGCAAGTGCAGACCAATTTTCAGCTTTTATAGAACAGTTTATTCCTGATCTGGAAAAACAAGTTTTATCCACTTTTGAAAATCTGGAAATTCAGTCAAAACTCTCAAAACTTGCAGTGAAGCCCCAGGATGAGATCTTCAAGCGAGTGTTTGGCTGTGGGAAGCAGTGTCCATTCTGTAAAATTCCCTGTGACGCAGGAGCCCCTGTTCATAAGGAGCATTTTTCCTTAATGCACTGGCCTAGAGGATTAGGGGACAGCCGGTGGAATAAAACTAGAATACTTGCCTATGATATATGCTCCTCTTCGGTGGCTTCCAATAACACATTCAGATGTATAGAGACAAACTGGGAGTTTCAGCCTTATAAAGATTATCGCAAATATTTTCCGGACTGGATCATCCAACCAGATCCCAGCATCACGGCTTCCGATTACTGGAAGTTTGTTTTCAAGGAATTCAATCACCAGTTTGCTGAGGCGTTTGATGCTCTCCCTGCCGATATCCCTGAGGATTGGCATAAAATAACCAAAGAGCAGGCACTGGAGAGCCTAAAGGAAGTCTTCCTAATGAAGTAAAAAACAGGCTGAGAAACTCTGTTGTGAGCAGAAAGTTACAGAAGTTAATTTTTTTAAAATGTGGTATGTGGAAAAAATCCCATATTTTATTAAAAGAGAAACAACATTACATATTTAGATCAGACACAGTTTTCAGCTTCCAAACAGATAAAGAAACAATGTTTTTTTTCACTTTCACATCACATAGACTTTATAGCAAAATTAAAGATGAAGGAAAGACCCATATGTGGAATTTCTGCATCTTTTTCTTACAGAGGAAACAACCAAAATTCCAAATTTGTCCTCATTACTGCATTTTGCTGGTGCAGTGGTACCATGTAGTGACCTGCAAACCTCCAAAGAGCCCCCTGAATACCAACCATTCACTTCTGCTACTTAAAGCCTCAATAACCTGCACTTTTGCAACTAATCTGACACCAAACAGCCTGGCCCTGATGGTCACCTTCTATGGGGAACCACATGGGAGGAAAAAAGTACTTCAGAGACACCAATAAGGGAGGTTTGCAGCATAATGTAATGGGGAAAGGAGGGGTGCAGCCAGCAAACCCCACAAGCCCATCCCAGCGCTGAGAATGGTCTTTCCATCTGCCCTGATTTCTGCCCTGCACATCCCCCTCACCCAGGACAGTAAGGCTGAGAAGCCATGGTGCTATTGGCTACTTCCCCTGTGATTGCCGGCCACCCTCTGCATGGAGGGTTAGCTGCAATAGATGAAGGTTAAAACCGATCTGTGTATATTTAAGGGCGCATTGTTAAAAAAATATGTACGTGTGCCCACAAGATGTACAGCTCAGCCCCCCACGTTTCTGTCTAGCCCACCTCAGTCCCACCACAGGGAAGAGGCTCCCCTGTGGATCTGGACTGAGCTGTGCTGGCTACTGATGAGAGATATTTTTTCCCTTTACACTGGGGGGATGGGCGAGGAAGGGAAGTGGTGGATGCTGCCCCGTCCAAGGGATAAAAAAACCCTAGAAATGTCACTTTTGGGCCAGGCATGCAGCGCCCTTACACTCCGCTTGGTGCCATTTCTCTGTCTGTCTCTCTGTCTGTAATGGGATAACTTTTCAACGCCTCATCTGATCAATTCCAAAATTTCAGGCAGTGCTCTGGGCACCAATGGCAAGAACCTTTTGAGTTTAGGGGAAATCAGTAAACCAGAACGGGGAAAATGAGGGACACACGAATTCCCTGATATCCATTTAGCACAGCTACATCTTCAAGCCCCTCTGCAGTTGTCTGTAGATCAAACAACCAGCTGATGGCTGGATTAACGCCTTCCAGCATCATAACACCCCCAGCTCAGCTCTGCCCATCCTCCCAGCGGAGTGTAAGATGTTGGCCACCTGAATGACTGATCTCCCAGAAAAAAAATAATATGGAGGAGGGATGGAAGAGGGAATGGGGAGAATAGGGACATGCGCACAGCCCATGAGATGGGGGGAGAATGCAGGACCCTGGTGTGAAGGGCTCACATAACTCCTGGTGGCAGATGTGAGACTGATAAACCTGCTCAGGCCAGAGCCAGAGGCCCATTCACTTGTGTGTGACTATCAAAGGAGTTAAATGTATTAGTGGATATTCAGCCAATTCACTTGTGTGTTAATAGAGATCAAAGGAGATGTTAATTGTATTGTTTTCACCTAACTATATCTTGTTGTTTACTATTACATTACATTTACATTATGCTTGTCTGGTAATTAGATAGGCCTAGATCAAAGTGTGTGTTAATCTAAGAGTGTATTCAGATGTCAGAACTTCATGAAACTAATGGAATGTTACTTATATTGTTTTCATTTATCTCTTCTTATTATAATGTAAAGGCAGGCAGTTATATTATGTCTAAGGTTATAATTAAATAACTCATTGAATGCAAATGAAAAGTGCTAAATTCAAAGCAATTGGCCATTGTGTGAGTAAGAACACTGCTCTGACTGTTGTGTGGAGAAGAAGCTATAAATACTGATTCAAAGGAAGATCCTTTATCTCTGGACTGTTTGGATTCTATCAGGGTGGAATAACTAACCGGGAAGATGGAGATCCCCAGAGTTATTCTGGGTAGCCCTGAACTGGCAGATTACTACATCTCTGCTGTCTTTTTGGGTTTACAAATGTTGACTCACCTGTTAATGTATTTTACCTGCTTTAACCTCTCAAGAACACTCATTTCTTTTGTCAGCTAATAAACCTATAATTAGTTAACTATAGAATTGGCTACCAGTGTTGGTCTTGGTGTAAGATCCAGAGTACCAACTGATGAGGGGGAAGTGACTGGTGTCTTGGGATGGGAGCAACCTGATGGTGTGCTTTTTGGTTTCTGTGACCATTATCACTAAGTTTGGCTTTTTTGCAGGGTAAAATGGGCTAGAGAGCTGAAGTGGACTGTCTGTGACTCTCTGGTAAGACTGGAACAGTGATCCAGGAGTCCACATTGTTTACTGGTTGGTGAAATTTAATTACAGACCACACCACCGGCTTGGGGTGGCTGCCCTGTTTTCTGACAGTCTGACCTGAGATTCACACTCACAGTTGTGAGGCACTCCAGACAGCATGAAATTGGGGGAACCTGCTATGGGGGAAGGGGACACCCAGAACCCCTAGCATAGGGGGAAAGTTGGGAATGGGGGGCAGACAGAACTCCTGGCCTGAGAGAGAAGGGGGTCCTGGTATAGAAGGAGGGAGTAATGGAAAGCACACATAATTCCTCATGGGTGGAAGACTAGCGAATCCTGGTATGGAGGGAGTGAGGGGATATGTGGGGCGGGGGAACAGGGGAATGGGAGCACATTCAGAACCCCTGCTATGGAGGAGAATTGGGGACCCAGGCATTGGGAGAGTGAGGAATAGGGGACACAAAGCCCCTGGTATGGGGGCAGTGGGAGGCACACAATGCTGCTGGCATTGGAGGGGAAATCAGGGGTCCCTAGTATGGGAGGAGGAGGGAGTTTGGGGGGCACACAGAGCCCCTGCAATTGAGGGGCATGGGATGGTGGCGCACAGGAAGGTTGTGGGTGTGAATGGAGGGATGTGAGAATCCTCTGGTGTGTGCAATAAGTTCACCCGCCAGTAGCAACCGAGTGTGTGACCCTCTAGGACACATACACTAAACACACAACATAAAGTTAGCAACATCAGCCTTATCCACAGGCCTGAGCCGGGGTGACTGAATGGCAGAATGTCCTCGGCCGCGCAGGGTGACCGTTGAAGAAGTGAGACAAATGAAGGAGGGGGTGGGGCAGGCTCGTCTGAGCCAGAGACAGAGCTTTCCCGGAGCCATCCAGTGCTGAGGAACGAACTCCCCCAGGATCTAAAACACCCATCAGATCTAAAATCCAGCAGCAACCCCACCAGCTTTAGTTTGAACTGCAGGATGGATTGTTGCTGTCACTGATACAAGCACCCAGCCCAGCAGACATAAAAAATTCACATGAATGTTACACTTGCTCACCCAAAATCTTACAGCCTTAGTTTTTTTCCCCCAGGGTCACGCTACTACTGCTTCTCTGGCTGTGCCTGGGGCGCCTTCGCTCCTTCTCTGTGTCCTCCTGTCTGGGCTGCTCCCCACTCACCCACAGCCCCAGCGCTCAGTGCCCCAAGCCCTGCGTTTGCTACCTCGGTCTCCAGGGAACCCCTTGGAGCACACGGCTCCGCTTTTTTATGTTTATTTTTTTACTTTTTAACTTACTGAACATTTCAATAAAAGTTGGTTTTGGTTTGACCCAAAGTGATTAAACAAATATTCAGAATTGCCAGTGAACAGAAAATCTGTTCTTTTTCAGGTGCTTGCACATGCCCATCCCATGTTAGGTGTGCATGCGCTACTTGGACACTCACGTGAGATTTTTTCCCTCAGTGGTATCCGTCAGGCCAGTTCTAGCCCCTCATGTGCTGGTACAAGGGGCCCGGCCAGCACCGAACCCTCTCAGTTCCCTCTTACCACCCATGACAATCACTAGAACAGCTTTTCTTTCTTCAGCAAGGTGATTCTCATTGGTTTTCTCTGTTTTTCTGCATCCCTCTTCTTTTTTCCAAGAGTTCTTGTCTTCAGTTTACCTTTTAAGCAGTTGTGTAAATAGTTAGTTGGATTCTCACATTTGTTTAGGGGGCGTCCTCCACGTCTGGAGCCAGATGTGCCCCGGTCTCCGGGCTTCAAATCCTGTGCCTCCTGCTGCAAACCTATGCCAGTGAGCAACCCACACTCCCATAGGCGCCGATTCCGTGGGTGCTCCAGGGCTGCACCACCCACAGAAAAAAATGAGTGGGTAATTAGCACCCACAGGGGAAGTCAGCTGTTGGCACCTGCCAATCCGCTATTTCGTATGTGCAGCATCAGCTATTTGGCTGGCTGCAGCCAATCAGCTGTTTGATGCAAAGCGGACTATCAGCTGATTCGCTCCCAGTTTGTGCAGCTCCTGCAGCTCCCAGCCGGGCTCCCGCCTCCCCCACTGCAGGCAGGTGAGTCTTTTTAATGTTCAGGGCAGAGGGAGCTGAGCTAGGGGGACAAGTAAGGGAACAGGCAGCTTCTGGGCTGGTCACAGGGAACTGGGAGGCATATGGGGGCGTTTCTCAAGGACTGAGCTAGCCATTCTCAGCCTGTCCTGGTGTCTCCCCCAGGACCCCTGCCCTCCTCCAGCCAGGAGGAACTGGCTGCAGACCCCCTTAGTGCTGGGCAGGGGTGTAGAAGGGTTCGGCCGGGTTCGTCCCTCTCCGGGGGTGGTGGGGAACCAGACCGCCACGCTACATCCATCGGGTTATTTTGGGGAAAGTAGCCTGGCCGCGGGGTTTCACGCCGCGACAACGGTAGAGACCAACAAACAGCTCTATTCCGCCGACCCCGGCCCTAGTTCAGGGCGGGGCAGTCGAGTGTCTTTGACTCAGGCCCTTAGGCAGGGGCTGAGCAAACCAATTAGTTTAGGAGGCCCAGGCCCTGGCTCCGAAGGGCCTGGGGAGAAGGGGAGACTGCCACCCACACGTTGGGTGGCGGGGGGACGCAGGCCCTCCCACTCCACTGCGACCCAGCCCGAGGCCCTAGCAGCGGCAGAAGACCCGCTGCTGTCAGTGGGGATCCTGGCCGCAACACACTGACATAGGCTCTGGTAGTGCTGCAGCCTGACTCGGGTCAGCTGCCCCCGGGCTACTTCCGGACTCCCCCTCTAGAGGGACCGGCGTCTGGACAGTGTCCTCCATGGGGTCGCACACTACGGGCTCCTCTGGGTACCCGGCGAGTGGCAGGCTTGGAAGCTCCTCTGGGTAGCTTGCCATAGGCAGGCTTAACAGCTTCCCCAGGGTCTGGTCGGCATCAGGCCTCGGCTGGTCTGGCCAGTCCTCGGGTCAGTCGCAGACTGCAGGAGTCTCTCCGCCGGGAGCTAGGCCACCGGCCTCTGGCTTCTCCAGTGGCCAGGCCCCTTCTGAGCCCTGGGGTTGGGCTTTTATACTTCCTGTCCTGCACCCTGACCTCTGGGGGGCGGGCACCAGCTCCACTGGTTCCGCCCACTTTGACGTCCATTGGGGCTCGTCCCTCTCTGGGGCGGCAGGGAACCAGACTGCCTCGCTACCGGGGA